AACACTCCAAACATTATCATATTTAAGGTAAATGGGGTAATTTGAATCCCACTGGAATAAAGCCAGGTATGAAAATCCAACCAAAATATTTGTATAAAATTGCACAAAAAGAATAGATGGTCCAAATCCTCCTCTTCTGTTTCACAAAATACACAATTACCCGTTTCTATTTTGAATCTATCACTAAGGAGTCTATTTGTCGGGTAAATTTTATTCAAGATTTTAAATTGGACTTCTTTCCCTTTAGGAGGGATAGGGAAGGTGATATAATCAGTTCTTATTTTTTCAATTTCTTCCCTTTGGAAATCTTTTAATATGTAATTACGTCTAAGTAAATTTGGAGAATAAAGACTCCTTAATGAAGATCTAAGAAACTTATTGTTGCATTTAACATCACAAAATCGAATACCATCTATATATAATTGCCTTAACTTGGGGGAGATGTCAGAATATATTATATCATTTACAACTATGTTTTTAAGTGACAATGGAATGGATTTTATAACCCGATTAAATTTACTTTTAGAACATTGGATATTAAACTTTTGGCAAAAATCTTGATGTCCTAGAACATGTCCTTCCTCATCTACAAAATGGGCAATTGCCCAAACACCTTTTGATAACCAATCTTGAATACATTTAGGTGATGGATTACAAGACTAATTAAACAGGATGAGCACACAGCTCTTAGTGCCTTAGCTCTTGGTTCCTATTTTCATTCATTTGTTACCAATTAAAGTGAACGCTAAGATGACCTGACATCAGCTGACATGTGGCTCAAAGTAGTTTACAGTTTTAATTGTAGTTATTTTTGCACAGTCTAAGAGTTAAGTTAAAAACGTATTGTAATAAATAGTGTTGACTCAGAAAGAGTGGGGAAACAAATACACAAATTGCTTTCTAACAAAACAGCATGCTAATGTTCACCAACACTTTGTGTCTAGATGAGACAGAGTGACCCAGATGTGGTCACGGCACTGACCCACCGGCCTTGGAGCCTGAGCCGGTTCGGGGACGGTGCCCCACGTTTTTCATCGCTGTGGAAACATCACTGGATGACTGTCATGGACATCTTGTTGGACTGGGCGCACCATAATGTTTTGTGGAAGCTCTGTGGCGTTTCGGCGTTCCTGATACAGAAGAACTTTGTCTCACAGTGAGTTTTGTAGCTGGAACATACAGTGATATATTCTATATATGCGTTAGATTTCATTAGAATACAGATGTGTTAGAGGTACATTTCAATGGCACTGCTAACTGTCTTATTCCATGCTCGGGTTTATTGTTGTGGATCATCAATAGGAGGAAATCTAAACATTACATATATTTGTATATATTAAGTATCTCACTTTTACATTTATTTTTTTTAAGTTATACCAAAAAAGTTATCGTTGCTTTGTACTCATCCTTAAAAAGTTCTTTTTGGGTCATTCAGACCAGATGAACATCACTCACCGATTGTGTGTCCTGTCTGCAGGGACTATGTGCAGTACTGGGCCCAGAGGGGTGTCGAGGTTGTAGCCTGGACCGTCAACACACAAGTAGAGAAGGAGTATTACCAGGAGGTGCTAAAAGTCAACTACATCACAGACAGCATGGTGGAAGACTGTGACCCTCATTACTGACGTACACATAAATCCACTCCACAAAATGTTGGCATTTATTAAAGATAAAAGAAACTGTCACCCATATGTAAGCTCAAGCAAGAGATCATATACTCCTTTTATTTCCAAGAAGACTGTTTTTCTATGGGTGTATGTTTCCTGAAGAATTTTAACTGGGCGCCATAACAAAATACAAAGTAACAGATTTTATTACGACTAAATCACTTTAATAATGAATAATGATGAACTCGCCTGTTATATTTACAGACTTGTTAATGCAAGGTGCTGGTAATATGTGTCTATAATAGACCTGCAGCAACATGATGTATTCATCCACTCAGGACTACATTGGGGGTTTTGGGGGGGGGGTTTGTTTGTTTGTTTGTTTTTTGTATGTTTGTCATGTTAGTTGTGTTTATACAGTCTTTCAGATAATGCAGAGCACTGTGTGCACTTTTTACTCACTAAAATCTGAAGAAATCTACCTTGAGATGATTTTTTTTTTTTTTTTTTTTTTTGTCATTTATGACATGTGAATACTACTTATTAAAGAAACATACATAAATGCTTTATAGAGCAGCATAGACAAACTAATAATAAGTAGGCTTGGTGATTACTTATGTTGTTAATGTATGGAGAAAACAAACTTTTGTACTGTACTGTATATGAAACCACAAGGACATTTATGAGGGATCAATTGTGGCACAAATACACGAATGGAGTTAATGCATGGCTTTGTGTAAGGCTCGAGTGTTACCAATAACACAGTGCCTGTTTTTAAAGAGTAAACCATTTTTTAGCAGTATGACAGTTTTGTAACTGCTTTACTTGAATGGGTAAAAACTAAAGTTAGACGTTGCTTGATGTTGCTGTTTGTCTGGAAAATCAACCTCGTGCTTTTGCATTTCATATATGCTGAATGTAAAGTAAGCTGGCTTTACTTTTTTTCATCCCTAAACTTGAGTGTAGAATTTCAAAATGTAAATTACACAATTTGGTGTTGCCGTAAGGCTTTAAATGACTTTAATAAGCCTGACTGATTCTAGATTTTTGGGGCTAATGACTGCCAGATTTTGGTGGTCACCACATTCTAGTATCTGATGATATCATTATATCTATACACTGTAGATATTACTGTACAACAGAGGTGGACAATTAATTTTCCTAGGTGGACATATTAGAAACTGGAACGGTTTTGGAGGTAAAATAGATATAAAATTTTTACTCAACCATAAAATCTATTTTTACTAATCAAATTGCTCCAAATAACAGGAAAATGCATCAACAGTTTAAAGTAAGGTGACACGGACTCTCTTGTGAATAACTACTTGATTTTTTATTTTTATTTCTTTGTAATAGTTGTGGGAATGTAGAGCTGCTTGGCAGACTGAAAATGTTGGTCTGTCATGTTCTGTGTCGTTATGTGACGGCTCTGGACACTAAAATGGATCAATAAAGGTGAACGGTTTGAGCTGATATCTTGCATCGCATCATTCAGTAAACACAAAAACCTGGACATACTGTCTCAGGAGAACATAAAACTGTTCAGGTGTAGTGTAAAAGCTCATGCATTCACTGTTTGGCCCTGCTGTTAATGCTAAGCTTGTGTAGTGGGGACTGTTGATTATTAGCTTTTGGGCCTGCAGAGTCAGACGATTGACCCAGATAGCGCAGATGAATGGGGGTTGAGTGAGAAGTGTAGTGTTGGATATCACCCTAGTTAAGCCTGTCTGAGCCGCTTCTTGTCCCGGCTGATCTTCAGTTGCTAAATGCAGAATTTCAGCTCAGGCAGTTTGGAGGCACTCAGCTAATTTTTATCTGAGCAAAAGAATCAGTTTACCTGCGTGTTTAAAAAAAAAAGAAAAAGAAAGAAATGTTAGATTTCAGGTAGAAATTATCAAAGGATAACAATGACGATAAGTCCCCAGAGAGATTATGGTGAGTGCCAAAAGCTGATTTAAAAACTAAAGCCCTATCCTTGTTAATAGAGGTTTTTTTTAATGCTCACAATTGGTCAAACATTCGTAATAATTGTCTAATAAATATTTTTGAAGTGTGTAACCAAACCTTCAAACTGCACCAAAATGTAAGTTTCCTGTCAGCTTTCTTTATTACTGTCAAAGCGCCTGGAGATCTGCGAATTTGGTTTAATAGGTGAAAGGTGAGCGCTTCGCGGCTCCTAAAACCCGGCCTGAGGGGCGTTTAGTGACGTCACGCACAGGCGGACTAACCAGAAGTAAATAGAAACAACGCGACCGGAAACACAGCAGCTCCGACTTCAAAATAAAAGGCTTTTCAAAGTGTGGAAAAATTTTAAGATCCCTAGAAATAAATGCAATTAATTAATCGCAAGGTTAGGAAACAGTATGTAAATATTAAGTTTAACACAACAAAAATATACTTAAAATAGCATGAAGCTCAGTGAACTAGAAAACAATGAAAAAAAAATCTTAAAAAGGTCAAACCTAATCTGAAATAACTATACAATAAAGTAAAAGTATACTAAAGAATAAAGTATAAGTATAATAAGTATAGTAAAAGTCTAATATACATGTACATTTAAACTCTAAATTCACCATTAAATAATAATGGACTATGTAATAAAAAAGTGAATAATAAAAATAATGGAAAGGTGTTGTTGTGTGTAAATCTTAACTATGTATAATTTATGTTGTTATTATAACTAATTCCAACTTAATTAAAACTATTAATTAATTTAAACTATGATACGTTTTATTCATTTTGTTAAAGTAATACAAAAGAGAATAATTAAATGGAAAATCTAAAATAAAATACAGTGCTGTGCAAAACTTTATTTTACTTCCAAGGACCCAGGTTTTCTTGTAATTATTATTTACAATTTGTGTCTTTTTTCTTTTTCTTTTGTGGTCCTGAGCAATACTTCTCGGGGCTTTTTTAGATCTTTTCTTTGGATAGTGGCACCTCCTTGACTCATTTTCAGTGAATAACCAATTCTAGAGGGATGTTTGATGAGAAGAAGACAAAACGCAAACAGAAACACTTGAAAACAACTGCTTATGGAACATGACAAGAAGCCCAATGACCACAAGAAGTCAGACACTAGAGGAGTATATCCCTAGAAGTCCATGCTCTGTTTGGTCCAGATCTTTACAACATTAGGCTGGGTTTTTAATGTTGTGGCTAATCAGTGTTTAAGTGCATAGTATTTGTAGCTGCATGATAATCAATAGTATATAACTGTGTAGTTTTTAATGTGATATAAAAGTACATATGGTGTCACCTCAAGATTGTGCTTATCATATTTTAAATGGTGCTTCAGTTTAAAGTAGCTGTAGGCTTGTACACTCCAAAATTAGTTTTACTTTGAAATGTTCAGGCGGAAGCCCTGTTCTGCATTTGGACTTGCTTGACGCTAGCCCAGCATGCTCGCTTTCAGTCCTGAAGAGAATAAAGTGTGCAGTGCCCTTGTAACCTGTCAGAAATCAGAGGTGGTACAGTCGGTTCCGGAGCACCAGCAGAGGAGAGAGGGTAGGAGTGTCCGGCTTAGAGTGTCACAATTCAGGGACGTCAGGAAGCTTGCCCCCGGCTCCCATTAATGATCCCCGGCATGTGGAACTGCGTTCTCCTTGAATGACCTACACACAACCTATTGCACGAGTCCTGGACGTCGTTTCATCTCAGTTGAACCACCTGCCGGAGAGGAGCTGCAGCGGGCGGTCTACACAGCGGGCAACAAGTCGAAGCGAGTCTCTGGCAGGCCTCGAGCTGACTGTGGAGCAGCTGACCTGGACAACAATCATTTCGGGGGGCAGCCTCAGAAGGACCGGACAAGAGCTACAAGTTTCAGAGTCAGCGTTCAATGCTTGAGGCCGACAATTAAGGAGAAGGGGCAGTGCAGAATTTCTCGAGGGTATCGGCGTTCACATGATGTACACAATCACCAGAGGTCCCAGCAAACTCGTTACACAACGGAGGACAGGTGAGTGAATGTGGCCATTACCTAACGCGTGATGCAATGTAACGTCAGGCTGCTTTTGGCTCAAGAAAGCGAAAGTTTCGGGGTTGTTTCGTAAGGTGACATGTTTGAGTGCTGGGTTACATCGAGTCTACAAACGCGTAATTTTTCCGTTTTTGCCCCAGGTAACACTCAGCAGGTCGAGAGCAAGTTCGGCGACTTGAAACTGAAGCCGACGTCCTGGATCACGTCAAAGTGAGTATGTTTACTTTGTGTTTTTATTTAATGTTTACCTTTTTTTTTTTTTTTTTTTTTTGAGGGTTGCTTTGGGCGTGCTGCTGTTTGAGCAGCGCGAGCTCAAAATACTTTCCACGTGGACCGCGAGCGCGATCATATAACACGTAGGCGTGGCTTGGTTCCATTATCGGACACAACTTCTCTGGCGGCCCGTCAGTTTCTCGGGCCAATCAGAGGCGCCATTAGTTGAGGTGTGACACTGCATGGTGTAGCCGAGAGCCCTGCTACCTGAGGGGCCAACCCACCTCGCCTGCTGTGATTTATTAAGGTGTAGAAATATAAAGAAAATAATATAAAGAAAAGCCTAAATCTAGCCTTGATTGAAACTTACAAATGGCAAAACTAACTTAATGTACTGAGATAGTTAAGGTGGACTAACCAATACAAAGCTGCAGTCTCCAAAATGTCCAGGAAAAAATTGACCACTCTAAGAAAACTTTCTTGTGTGAAAGTGTGCAAGACTTAGATTTACACTTAGATTTGCACTAATATATAACACCCCACCTTCAAGAAAACACCAAATAGGTAATGGATGCCCTTTTCAGCTCATGTTCACCCTGCCCATGAAGAACCAAGTCAGTCTGTCCTGTCATAATCAAAGTGGCCACACCTTCACCAAGTAATCCAAGCTGCTAAATGAACATAAGACTTTTACTCTCACTTTGTAACGTGACTCCTGTGACTGTCTTCATCCAAAAAGCCGCTCCTCTGCAATTAGCTCTTGTGTTTTCTCCTTAGCTCTCCTCCTCCAAAGATCGTGTTCAATCGCCTCAACGGGAAACGGTACCACAGTGCGGCCGCACAGAAGTCTGAAAGCCCAGTGGAGGGATTCACTCCTGCACACGAGGAGAATGTCCGATTTGTATACGAAGGTGAGGATAAGGGGACCAATAGATGGGTGGTGATGTAAGTCAGAGTGCAAAGTGAGCCCTCCAAGACAAAAAGTCAGATCTTTATCTGAAAGGGGAGGTGGTATTAGTTACTAGAGTAGCTTTACATGATTCATAGTTTATAATGAGCCTTTTCAACCTGTTCTGGGTACTAGTGTAGCCCTTCAGTTCATCTCTTAAACCATTGTAGCTCCAGTTCCTCTTCTTTTTAAGACCTCTTAATACTTCCTATTGGCGGCCTCTCACAAAAGTTTGCACAGCAAGTGGTGGACCTGCGGTGCTCAGAGGCAGAGCTGTCTGCCTGAGGGGATCATACTGGGGCTTTCCACTCTGTCTGAAACCAAGCAGTTTAGAGCCCAAGCTTTTTGGTACTTGTACAATCAGTGATCTCACTTTTTTGACACTTTGGTCATCTTTAATAAGCGTCTTTAATAGGCTGATGATAATTTGGAAATCAGATGATCTTCTGCAATACACGTCCTCCTCTGCATAAGAAGCTTTGGATATACAGATGTGCAAAATTGTAATATTTACTGTTTGTATTTTTACCGTGTTGGTAAATTTCTCTTCATATGCTTAGGTTCAGAATTTATATCCTTTTATATCCTAAGGTAGTTTTCAGTAATGTTGGGTGTTGTTTTGCAAACTAATAACCCCTTTTTTTTTTTTTTTTTTAATGACAAATACCTGGACTACTGCAAAAAATTCAACTAGTTGTCAGTAGGTCTCAGACGAGTGCTGCTTCTAGTCAGTAAACCCTAACAATGAGTTAAGTCCAGGCCCTGCAACATTCACCCCCGTCTTGGAAGATTGTCCAGCATACCTCAGCGCCGGCCAGTATTTCATGCCGTGCTCGGATTGAATGATTTGTGGAGCTGAATCGGCATGAGCCAGCTATCTGTGTTACTCTTGGGCTGCTGTCAGTAAAGACTGCTCTGTGGCGTCCTTTTGTGACCACAAAGTTCAGCGCTTCACTTTTGTTCTCTGCTCAGACACAAGGAGGAACCGCTCTCACGCTCTGTCGAGTTGTTCGAAGAGAGAAAACCTCCTGCGGTTTATTCCAGTTGAACATGTTCACACAAAAAAGATAAAAATTGTAACAAATGTAACCTGCAGACATGATTAGAAAGCGTTTTATGCACCCGCATGCACACGTTCAACTGGTTTATTGTTTAACATCCTTAAAGCCGTTAGACATTAAATGTTTGGCTGACTATTGGAGCTCCAAGTAAGCAGAAGACATGTCCACAGAAACTAAACCTTGAGATTTATCTTGATTATTAAATGGAAAAACCTTCACCCTCAGCTGATAAACACAATCCGCCTACCAGACCAGTCCTCTCAAGGTTTGCAGCCTTCAAATGAATTTAGATAAATAGTGGTCAGAGCTGTGTAGATGTGCCCTTGAGCTCAGCTGCTGGTTGAAGATTTATTTTTATTTTTAGTGTCTTTTTGTATGAGTTCAAAGATTACAGGAAAAAATACACCAGTGTATCCATCCAACATCCAAATGGTAATTACAACTCCACGCGTGTGTGACTGTTTGCAGTGTGGCAGGAGGTGGAGCAGAAGCTGGAGGACGGCGGCAGAGGGGAGCTGGCTGGCAGCCAAGGGCCCGTTCAGTACTCCGAGAAGACCCCGAGTGCTGCGATGAAGAGTAAGTTCCCATGACTTTTAAAATGCCTCCAGTCATTTAGAAACTAACGTGACCACACTCATTTAATGTAATCTTACCGTATGTCTTTATGGCATCCTAACAGATAAACCTCTTCCTACTCATTAAGCTGCTCAGCTTTTGAACCTGTAATCTATGCATTTATTATGTCTGGGCCTTTAAACCCCTGAACCGATTGGCTATTTTCATCTCTCTGAATGAACAGCATGCAAGGCAGAGGGCAACTGTTGTAATAGTATTGCTTTAATTTTTAACCTCCTTTAATTTGAGAACCTGGCTATTCCAGATAAACCAGCCGTGACGACCAAATGTAGAGCACACACCTACCTGCCTCTTCCGCTTTCCATTGTGTATCGCTACCCCGAAAAGCTTAAACCAAACCGGTTTCTAATCCTGAATTCTTTAGAATGTGAAGAAAAAAATATTATTATATATTTTTTATTTTTAAGAATACCGAAAGCTTTTCAAATCTGAGAAATTAACAACATGACAAAAGGAGCTCTCCATTCAAGTGAAGGACAATGAATCGATTAAAGAGGCAGGCTGGAATTCTTCAGCTGTTAATGTAACATTTTGTTCACGTGTAGAAAACGTACTTGCTCATTTGATTCAATCTGAAGTTAAGCTTTCGTCTCTTGTCTCTCCTGCCGTCCTCCCCTCTGTGCAGACTTTGTGCCCATAGACCTGGAGGAGTGGTGGGCTCAGCGCTTCCTTGCCAACATTGCCAACCTCTCATGACTGTGATGAGGCATCGAGCCGGGACGAGGAGATGCACCGCGCTGATGCATCCGGAACTTGCCACACGGGTGGAAAGGAGGCGAGCCCGTCTTTGGGATCTGTAGCGTTGTGTCTAATTTGGAATGTGATTTGATGCCTCGTGCTTCACAACTGCTGTCGAGAAACCTGAGTGCACAACGATGCAAACACAGCGACCTGACTGGGAACTCTTGACAGCATTGACTTTATGTTGTGCTGCTCTAACGGAGCTCTCTCTCTCTCTCTCCCCCTCTCTCTCTCTACTTGAATGATGTATCAGAAGCTATGAGATCTTCCCCTTGTTCAACAACCTGCTTCCTTTCTCAAGTGTGTTCAGCTCTGCGAGCATCTTGGTTAATCTTTGGATAAGGAAAAACAAAAAAAAAACACACAAAATGCCTTTTCAACAACTTCTGTGAGATTGCATTTCTTTGCGCTTAACTGGCTCATATTTTGTTGTTGCAACACATAACACCTGACTGTTGTGCAATACAACACACTGAAGATTAACTTTGTATCACTGGGCGGACAAAGTGTAATATCAACTTTATTACATCAAGTGGTTTTGCTGTTTTGAAATTTTTAAATCAAAAGCCCTTTTCAGATATAACTTTACTGGCTGTTAAAGTGACAGTTTGGTCATTCAGACAGACATGTGACAGTATTGGAAAGACTGACTATAATCAGTATAAACTTAGTGGATGGCAACTTTTTAATGTTAGTGACAATGGAGAGGAGAACAAAGAGCAGGGTGTACGTGACATGTTGTGCTGTTCAGGCTGTTCTTCTTTGGGCTGATGTGTAAATGTTACTCTTTCTTAAAATTCCTGTCATGACTTTTATGGAAAAAGTGACCCAGGTGCTCATTTCGGACACCTTGTAAGGTGCAACAGGAGTGCATGTCTGAAGGGGGCTAAAGCAGCCATTTGTCAACCCCACACTACAGCCGTCATTAATCTGATTTATTTTCTTAATAAATGCAACATTGGGGGGGGGAAACAAAAAAAAAACAGTTAAAATACACCCGGTCCTGGAAAAACGGTGTCAATAATTACATAGTTATAAACCTGTTTTTACTAAAGATTTTCTCACCTGGGAATAATCAGTCTTTGTCTTGATCACTTAGATTTTCTTGTGGCCTTTTCAGTTATCAGACAAACGTTCCAAGCACAGAAATAAAATCTGCTATCTTTAAGTTTCTACATAAAATCATTCTTGCAGTGAGTTTAAAAGTGCGACTGTAATGCCTCCTTCCTCGCTTGCCTCTCTTTCACCTACTTTTGCCCACCTTGCCTGTCCTCTTGACCCGCCTGCGGCTCGGTGCGGCGCGGCCTGGCTTGGCTGTGGTGAAGGTGATGCACTGAGAGTCCAGGTAGTCCATGAGCTTGGCGGCCCCCAGGCGTATCCCCGCTGCTTTGAGTTGCTCCTGAAGCTGAGACAGAACCAGAGGCTTATACTGGAGGATCTGACTGTACAGCTTGGAGTCGGACAAGATGAAGGAGCGCACGGCTTTGAGTCGATCCTGGAGCCGGGACGCTGCTTGAGAGGCAGAAATCCCGCCATCGCTGTCGGAGTCGCCGTCGGACGAGATGCATAATTCTGGATTGGACCTGATGAGAAGGAAGCGGTTAATTTTATAGACTCTAAGTGTCTGATTTTTAAAATGAGTGTCTGGTATCTAACTTGTATATCTGAGGGTCAAACGTGCACACACTAAGCAACAGCTGGAACTGGAAAGCTACTTCAATGGTTCCAAAATGTCTCCAATCAGCCACATGTCAGTAGTTGTGTGGTTGTGTAAGGGGTCATGTTGGCACCAAATGATCAATCACAAAACATGAATGAAATCAAGTTTTAACCTCCCAAATATGAGGAATTGTACCTGTAAAATGGGCTAAAAGCAACTCCTGATATTGGCTAAATTATCTGATCCAGAAACTCAGTTGATGGATGTGTGCAGATTGTTTTCTCTCTCTGTCCTGCATTACTGGAGCTGCTGCTGTTCTTTCTGTGCAACACTGTAATTGTGTTAAAAGAAGCCAAAGGTCCCTGAATACTATTGCCCTGCTAATCCAACCACCAAGCGTCACTACAGTAATCCCATTTTCCAGGAGAACTGAGCGGGTGAGTAGTGGTGCTTTTCTACACACCGATCTGTTACCTGTTACAAAAACAGCATTCAGGCAAGTTACCTTAAATTCTAGTTCATATCAGCGCCATCAGCTCATGATACAGAATATCTGTGTGTGAATTTGAATTAATGCTTCACAGTATATAAAAGCAATTTACAGTAGCGTTCAACACATTTGCTGATAAAGTTTATATCACATATAATCAGCATCATTTTGAACTTTTTCCCCATTCTGTGCATTTTAAGCTCTTTCTCTCAGGAGCACTAACATCACAAGTCTTTGACTCATCGTTATATGGCTGTTATCTCCACTCTGTTAATGTAATTTTAGATAGTGGACATAATTAGATGAAGTATTTTAAATCACAAAATGGCATTTTTATACATTTCAAATTTCCCCCAAAGAATCTCATTCATAAAGGTTGTTTATCTTGACTTTATAGCTGTGCAGTCACTACTGACTAAATTCATTGTTGTTTTCCCAGGTAGGAACAAAAAACAACATTCTAGAGCTCAATTAATAAAAACACTAAAAATGTAAGCACCCTCTGTATAGCTGTGGGTTGTGATGTACACAGGTGAACACTTTGGTGTCATTCTGAGGCAACAGCACAGCAAATTACACACAATGACCATAGCAGGTTACAAACTGGTGCTATTCAGCTGTGAAGGAGGGCAATGGTGTCTAACATCCTCCTCTTCACAATCCTCATGCATTGTGTCGACTCTTGATGGACTTCACATCTTTAAACTAAGACATTATCTTCTGAATGTTCACGACTGCCAAGAGATGACTTGGTGTGAACCTTTGATGTCATTTGATTTGTTACCAACACTAGTACAGGTGCACACAGGCGAGCAACTCTGAATCCATCAGAAACATGGCTCCTGGAGAACACAGGCCACTGACTGAGTCTATAGTCAAGCGCTCTGTTATGTAACACCTAAGATGATCTACACGCTGCGGAGTACCTTTCCGATTCTTCACTGGCTCCAGCTGAGGAGGTGTTGGAGCCCTGTGAGTTGGACAGAGGCTCCGCCACCTCATCACCGTTGTGCTTCACAGGGCACACATCAGCAGGTGCTCGGGGTTCTTTAAACTTCACAGTCTGGGCGCAGGACACTGGCCTGCTGGCAGGGGGCTTCATCTGAGCTGTGGCTCCTGAGACTGAGGCCTCATCCTCAGAGTCTGAGCTGACCAGCTGGTGTGTGTATTGGTGGATCTCCTTCAGTTTTAGGATCATCTGGCGCTTCGGTAAAGGCCGAACGCCAAACCTGCACAGAGGCGAAAGTTAAAGGCATTTGCGAGGCACAGACAGACTAACAGATGGACAGAAGGAAAACAGCCTGACAGCGAGCAGAGCCAGACAGACTGTGACAGTGACACCAGGGGAGCTAATCGGATAGATACCTCACTTAATCGCTGTGATTAGTTAGAAAAAAAAAACTTGGCCTTGTATCTAATCTTTAACGAGAGGATGAGAGTGAACCAACTGACCTGTTGAGCTTGTTCTTGAGCTCCGGCGTGTCCATGTCAGAGTAGTGGGGCATGGGAGTGATGGGCACCAAGGTGCGCTGCCTTTTGCTGTGAGACGACACTGATGAAACACAAGAAGAAGACACTGTTTAGGCACAAAGTCTAATTTCTACACTAGAAGTTCATAAATAGAAGACAAGTGCGTGCAGTCCTTTAAAAAATCCCAACTAATTATTTATTCAACAGAAATTAAGCAATATATCTGTAATAGCCTGCAATCATATCTTAAGTTATACTAATTGTAAAGCATTTGAATGAATTGGTGATATTAAACAATATAGATAAAATGAACCTGATAAAGCAATAAGCCCCCAAACAACATTCCTTGTTTTCCACTTGAATTTAATCAATACTTCAAACTTTTACCAGTCAATTTGGTTTTAACCTTGAAATGAGGCTCAGATATAACATTCTTTCACAATTAACAAGTTCGTGCTTATTAAAGTTAACGAGCACAACATTAATTAATGTTGCAGAGTCTCGACTTTAAAATATAAAGTGCCTTGAGATGCCTATTTTTTTTGTTTGGTGCTTTTTAAATAAAAACAAACTGAATTAATTGTGGAGGCTGTTTGAGAACTTGTGGTCGATAATAATAATTATCTGTCTTTTTGTGATTTTATTGCTCTGGAATGTGTCGGTTGCTTATGTATATAGCACTACTTTGTCTATATTTCTCTTGCTATAAGAGCTGTGTAACACTAAAATTTCTAATTTTGGGGATAATAAAGGTTTATTCTATTCTATTCTATTCTTTCTGTCTTGGTGGAGAAGAGCATGTTTTTAAGCCTGTCACTCGATTTTTATAGTATGTGTAGCCCTGTGCAGGCTTGTCGTCCCAACCACAAAGGTACAGCATGTACAACCCTGTGAATACAGACAATAACTTTCTACTTCAGGCACAGGTTGTCTGGTAGAGTGAAGAATCTGATTAGATTTTGAAGCAACTCTAGTATAAATTATGTATTAGAGGAAAAATACTTCTTGATATTTAATAAAAATTAAGACCTGTTGATACATATTGGGATGGTTTTTATAATTTAGGCTAAAACAAATATTATTTAGTAATATGCAGTTTATATTTATGCTGGCAAATTACACAATAGAAATACTTACCTGGGGTCTTATGATAGGTTGAGGGGTTCACCCTCTTAGAGAGAGGAAGGTGTTCCTCCTCCTCTTCTTCTTCTTCCCAGCTGTCCCATATTTTGGAGTCCAGGAGGCCGTTGTCAATCTCTGGTGTGGTCAGCAATTTGGCTTTAGGTGGGGACGTGGTGATGGAGGGACCTGCGTGCACCTGAGAGCTGTGACATTTAGGTGTGGAAGGGGTAGTCACGCCACCACAGCGGTTTAAAGACTCGCTGCTGTGTCTGGACGATTCAGGTCGACTGGTGGGAGAGGTTAACGACTGGGCTGTTTCTCGCTGCCCGCTGTCCTCCAGCCTCAGACTGAAGCATCCTGGATCAGCGTCTACACACACATCGAGTCCCCATGAATCATTGAACGCTATGGGAGGCTCATCCATGGCCATGAAACTCTGCTGAAAACTAGATTCTTCAACATCTGCCTCTATTTTTATTTCTCCCTCCTGTCCTTCATTGAACATTTCTTCAGTATGATCGGAATCTGCCTCTCTTCCTTCCTTCTCATTCCTTAACCTCTTTTCATAAATGCTGGAATTAAGAGAACATCGACTCTGACTAGAAGACACGGTGAGCCTCGGTGAACTTTCTAAACTATGAGAAGACGAAGCGCGTGGGCCTGAAGGGTCAGACAAAGGGGAGAGGTGAAAGCTCCCCAGGTCTGTTTTCTCTGGGCTATCTGATGGTGCTCTCTCCCTTTTCTGACCCATTGAGTTCTGCTTACTGGGATGAGTGTGAAGCAGGGAGGAAGCAAGACGCATAGGGGAATGGTGGAGCTCCGTTTGTAAGGGAGTACTGCTGTAAGGTTGGGGGTGGCGCTGAAGAGGAATATCACGCTTTGAAGAAGCTTGGAGAGAATCAAGGTGAGTCGAGCTTGAGAGATTTGACAGTTTAGGCTGAGGCAGGGGAACTTTGAATCGCTCTCCATCGTTCCTTGAATCATCACTATTCTCTCTTTTTGGAGAAAAGCTGAAGTTCCTTTCTATCTTCAACCTGGAGACACTGCCCTTCATTTGGTCGGTGTCGGCAGAATCCTTGGTTTCACTGTTGGAGGGGTGAAGGGTGCTCTTAAGAGTAGGAGAAGAAAAAACAGAGGGTGATGATGGGGATGTTTGACTTCTCCGAAACAGCTGCGTCCTGCACATGCTGCTTCTGGTCTGAGTGGAGCTGCTCCTGGTGCTGC